GCTGTCCCCCCCACCCATCCCCCCCTGGGCGTCTTTGGACATTTCTCATCCCCCCCTGTGCTGCTCCAGAACCTCCTGTGTTGAGCTTGGGCCTCGTTTTGAAGCAGCAGCGCCGCGCCCGATCCCCTCTTCCTCCTCCGTCTTCTCCCGCTCCCCCTCGCATCCTCCCCCTCGTCTCTTTGCCACTGCTCCCACACCACTCACGCGTGTCGTGGCCCCACGAGAAGCTCCACCGAGGGCGTAGCGTTCCCCCGCCCATTCGACACGCTCCTCACACGTTTCTAATTGACAAGCGCGTTCCACAACTCGCAAACAATTACTCGCAGATGGCCTGGATCCGCCGGGGGGGATTTGCGATCAATTACATCGAGGCAAACCTGTGTTTAATTTCGGACGTTTCCGAGTATGCACTTTGCGAATAATGAAACGCGCTCAGTATCGTGGCCCCAGCGGGAGCTCTACCGACAACCTCAACTGCAAGGTGCTGCATATCGTACTTCCGCCCATGTTGGAACACCCCTTACGCGTTTCGTGGTTCTAGAAAATTCCGAAGCGGTATTGTGTCGCATGCGGTTCCCCCGCCTATTTCGGCACTCACGTGTTTCGTCTCTCCCACTTCGGCACACCATCCACACGTGTCGTGACCCCACATGGAGCTCCACCGAAAGTCTCCGTACAATGAAATGCTGGCAAACGCCTTGGTAGTATTCTCGGCCCGCGTCCTCTAAACTTTGCGCCCTTGCCTCTCGTTCGTCGATGCTGCGCATTCTCTGCGCTCTCGTGCCCCCTTCTGCTCTGCCCTGTGTTGTCCGGTCGGTGGCCCTCTCGATCAGGCCGCCGAGAAGCCCTGCAACCCGAGGGCGCACGTGGGATGTCGACCCGCCGAGTCCATCCCGGTGTATTTGGCGGATTCTGGAACCCTGAACCCAAAAACGTTTCCACCTCGTGGGGACACATCTTTTACTTCCGCCGCCTTCCGCCGAGCTTCCGCCGGCTTCCGCTGGCAGAGGCGGCCTCGTTCTGCTCCCGCCGATCTTCCGCCGCGGAGGAGGTGACAACTCCTTCGACCCTCGAAGGGAAGCCCGAGCCTTTTCTGGAACGCCCCATTTGAAGAGAAACCGCGTCGGACAACAGATCGTCAACACTGCGTCGTACCTCGTCGGCAGCGCCGCGGGCCCGCGCCGCTCTCGGCCGCAGCCGGCTGCTCGCGGAGGCCTCTGCGCAGCAGCCTTCTGCGCAGCAGCCTGGCTCCGGGGGGCGGGCCGATGGCCGATTGCCGGCGAGCCCGTGGCGGCGTGTGGCCGGTGCCCGTGGAGGGGCCCGCGCGCTGGAGGAGGGCCTCGAGCTGCCCCTGGGCCAGGAAGCGAAACGGCACCACCCCGCCTGCGACCCAGCGATGCTGAAAGCCGAGGCGCTTCCCCAACCACGACCGCCTACGACCACCGACGGCACCACCCCACCTGCGACCAACCTGCGGCCCAGCGTGCCGTCGGTGGGGCAACCAGACAATACCGATACCGCTGCTCCCCGACCTCTCCCGGGGTGCGTTCTAACCGCACTTTCGAGGCGACTCCAGCGATGGCGACGATAAACAAAAACAACGGCACAGACGTAAACTTTTGGCGCTCCGCGCGGATTTCTTGGATGTGCGCTGGACCCCCTTCCCTGGCGCGCGGAGCGCGCCAGGGGCGGCGCCGGAGGCGCCGCCAAGGGGGGCCCAGCGCGAATCCATGAAATCCGCGCGGAGCGCCAAAAGTTTATGTTCATGCCGCTCTTTCTTCTTCGCGACGAGGGCCCCCCAGGAGGCCCAAGCAGGGGGACCCGAGGGAAGGGTACCAGCAGCTTGCCCTCCTTTGGGTCGGTGGGGTGGTGTCGATTGGCTCTTCGCCGAGCTCGAGCAGTGGCTCCCGGGGCGTCCGCGACCTGCGCGCCCCCCCCCCCCTCGTGGCAGCGAGGCCGGGCGCCTGGCGCTCTGCCGCCGCGCGTTTCCGGCTCGGACCCCTCGTGGCGCTCTCGGGGGCGTCCGAGGAGGGGGGCGTCCAGGCGACTCCTCGCAACTTTGGCCCGGATCCGCCGCGCGGGATCTGGGATCCATCGTATCGAAGCGGGCGCGTGCTTTTGCTTCGGACGTTTGTGGGCAGGCACTCTGCGAGCAGTGCAGCGCGTTCGATGACGGGGGCGTCCAGGAGGGGGGCGTCCAACAGGGGGGGTGTGTGTGCAACTCATGACAGGCGGTACGTGCGCGGCCCAGGGGGGTGGGGCCGGGGACGCGATGGAAAAATAGGAGGCGCCATCATATCTGGGGAAATACCATGGCCCCCAGCATGGTATCCACCCTTCCCCGTAGTCATCACCCTCCCTCTTTGCCGCCCCCGACTGCCCGACTCTCTCTCTCTCTCTCTCTCTTTCTCTTTCCTTTCTCTCCCTCCCTCTCTCTCTCTCTCTCTCTCGTCGCCCTCCGCCAACCGGGCCGGCGAGCCCGCCTCGCCAGCCTGGCGGGCTCGGCAAACGGACTGGGGGTCGTTCGTTCACTGAAGCTCCGCCTCGGGAATTCCCGCAGCAGGGACCCGGCACGCCGGCCCTGCAGCCGGCCACGTCGACGGTCCGTGCGGCTGCCTCGCTGCTTGCCGGGGGCCGGCCTGTCGGCCCTGCCGCGCTCCGAGGCTTCTGCGGGTGGAGAGGGCAGCGCGGGCCCCGGTCGCAGCGGGCTCAGGCAGGTCCCCGACACGCTGCTGGCCCTCGGAGTTCGGCTGCACGCAGACGAGCGGCCCCAAGGCAAGAGGGGCCTTTGGTGCGCGGGCGCGGGGTGGCCCAAATCCAAGCGCGCAAGCAACCAGTATCGCATCGCGCTCAGCGATCGGGGGGACGCCGGTGAACCCGCACTTCAGGTCACTCCGACGAAGGGTCACTCTTACGTGTCGTCTAGAGTCGTGCTCCTGGCCACCCTCGGAGCTCTGCGTGTCCTCCAAGGCGTGCTCTTGGTCGTGCTCCCTGTGCTGCCTGTAAGCTGTAGGGCTTTTTCTGGGGTCTGGTAGCGCGGGCCCCCACCGCCTCAGGGCCAGGATGCCGGTCCCCATTGCTCGGCTGGTCCTCTGGGTCGTGCGTCGGTAGAGGGACAAACACAAGAGCGTAAACATGCACTTTTGACGGCCCGCGCGGATTTCTTGGATCTGCGCTGGAACGCCCTGGCGGCGCCTCTGGCGCTGCCCCAGGCGCGCTCCGCGCGCCAGGGAGACGGTTAAAGCGCAGATCTAAGACATCCGCGCGGAGCGTCGAAAGTTCCAGCTTGATCATGGTGCTTTTTCTTCGATTCTGGCCGCCCTCGCAGCTCCCCTGGGTCCTTCTGGTCGTGTTGCTCGCTGGCCTCTATCAGGTGCTCGCTGTGCCGACGGCCCTCTTCCAGGAGGACCTCCGGCTGGCATGGCAGCGCTTCGGCCACTGCTGCGAACACAGCCCTCTGCAAGCTGCGCGTTGGCTCCTGCGAGCAGTCCCGCGTCGCTTCCCTGCAGCGGTGGGAAACGCGGCAGCGCGCCAGTCTCCTTCTTGAGCTCGTCCGCCCTTGCCTCCGTCTTGCGCCAAATGTCCTCGGAATCGATTTCCTGCTGTATCTGGAAGCTGGGCTACCCCGTCCGGGCCGTTCAGGATAGTCGGACTCCTCCTTGCCGAGTTCGTCGTCCTGGCCGCCTCCGAGGAGTTGCTCGTCTCCCAGGGTTTTTCTTGCCGCCCTCTGCCAGGTGGCCCTTCGCCTTGTCCACGTCGCGCTCTCTGACCGCGAGCGCCGCGGTGAGCTGCGCCTGGAGGCAGACATCTCCTTGCGAGCGAACCCGACGCGCACCTTGGTGTGGCTCCCGAGGCGTCTCGCGAGGCCGGGGCGACGAGCGCCGCGGAGGTCAGCTTCCGCCGCCCGGACTCCAGGCACGCCCGTGCCCGCCAGGATCTCCAGCAGGCCGAACCGCGCGCCTCGGCCCCTCGCCGCGCGCGGCTGCCCCGGCCGTGCTGGTCCTCGGCGCGGCTGCCCGCGGTGCCCGCGGCCGCCCCCCGAGCGGCGCCGGGGGCAGCGGCCGCACCTGCCGCAGCCGTGCGCCTGCTTGCTGCCGCCCGGGCCAGGGGACGGGTACCACCAGAAAGCCAGCTTCGAGCAAGCACTGTTTGGCTGCCAGCGTGTGCGCATCGTAGATCAAGGCCGCTGCGAGTGGCAGGCGCTCTCCCGCCTTTGGTCCTGCCTCGCCGAAGGCTAGCCTCGCGAGGTAGATGCAGTCGAGACCGTTCTTGCCGCAGAACAAGGAGCCTATGCATGGACGGCAGGAGCCGCCACCGCCGGCCCGGAGGCCGCCGGGGCGACGCGCAGCCCGGCCGTCCGCGCCCAGAGGTCGGTCAGACGCCATCGTCGGCCATCGGGATGCTGCCCCCGGCGGGCGGCCCGCCGCGGGGTCCAGCGCTCGCGGTGGCCACGGCCCAGGAGCGCTCACGAGAAGGGCCTCGCCCTCGAGGGTCGCAGGCGTGGCCATCTCGTCCGCGGCGGAAGGGCGGCGGGAGGTCGGCGGAAGGCGGCGGGAGTGGAGCGAGGCCGGCTCCGCTGGCGGAGGTCTGGCCGAAGGCCGGCAGAAGCAGGAGATGCGCCCCCAGGAGATGGCAGCGTTTCTGGGTTCAGGGTTGCGGGAACCACGTGGCTGCGGGGAGGCAGAGGAGGAGAAGGAGGACGAGAGGGTACACAAATTGAGGTTTTCGAGGGCTCCGTGCAGTCTGCCGAAGCCAGCCGCAACCGGCCGCGCTGCTTAAGGTACGAAGGAACCGGCTGTGGCGCTACAGTGCGACCGTCACAACCCGACGAGATCAACGATGAAGGCCTTCCTTTAAAGCAAAATTCTACAACGGGAGTCCGAAGACTTAAACACCCGTCCGGGAGCGGTGCTCTCATGAATATGAAAATGCGCCATCATCTTCCGCCACCCCCTGTCTTTCCCTCTCCCTCCGACGCTTCAGAAAACGAGCAAGGTTTCTCACTCGGCGGTTGCCACTGCAGCTGACTGCTCGGAGCGTTCGCGCCCGTCCAGATCCAGCCCAGTACCAGCCCGAAGAGCCACTTTGCGATGACAATCCTCTGGAATAGTGCTTTCTTCCGTGTGGTCGTCATCTCCCAATAGACCTCCGACTGCATAGCCCGTTTTTCCCAAATGCTTCACGTAGAAGTTTAGGTAGTCCAGGCCTCTTCGAGTACGTCCATTGACGACTTTTGTCTCAACAAGGCCAAGGGCAGTCCATCTTGGATTCTCAACTCGCTGTGTCGCTGAGTAGTGGTACCCTCCAGGTTGCCGTGCCTCAGTGTGAACGGAAACATATCGAAAGCGCTGTTCCCCCGCATCTCTCTGGGGACGTGTTCTGACCAGCATCTCGAAACAAATCCAACGGTGGAGACCGAGGGACCACAGAGGCAGATACGATGGAAAGGCATCGGTGCTGGTATTGGGGGAACAGAAAGGTACTCATACCGCTACTCCCCGGACCACTCCCAGGGTGCGTTCTGACCCACATTTCGAGGCGAATCCAGCGGTGGCGACGAGGGCCTCCCAGGAGGCCCCCCAAAGGGGAAAACGAGGGAAGGGCATCGGTGCTGGTGGACACCATAGTAAAGAAAATGCGAGGCTTAGCAAATGGACGTCACTTCTGAAACAGTAGTCCGGGTCCCGATCTACGAAGATTCTGCGCAACAAAACTTGAAAGATGAAAAACGACCCTACCCTGGGTTACAAGTGCGTGGTCTGTAAACCTCCTGGGAACCCCCAAAGCCTAGAGCCGCCAGGACGCGGCACATCACGCAGGGCTTACCCTGTCAGCCCACAGGAGTTTCAGCGCACAGCGCTTCGTAAACCAGGGTAGGGGCGTTTTTTTCTGCCCTTGAAAAAAAACAAGCTCCCAGAAAACGCCGAGGGTCCAACCCAGATGCTTGCCTTTCTTGAGCGAGATCTGGGCTCCGTTTTCGTTTTTCGTTTTTTTTGTGTGTAGGTGTTTGTGTAGAAAAAAACATCCGATGGGCGTGTGGTCTTCCCCTGGGAGCCTCTGCCCACGTGCCCGTGATGTTGACCGCCGAGAAGTACATGTCGCTGCACCCGCCCAGGCGCCGCGCCTCGGCCCGCACCTCCAGGAGCGGGTGCTCCTCCTTCCTGCTGGCGGCCAGCCCGGGGGGGGGAACGAGATCGGCTACACGCAAGCGCGACCCTGGGCAAAAGCGACCTGTTTGGCAGGCGAACCCCCCCCCCCCCCGTCCCGACGCCCGTCCCCGAACCCGCGATTCGAGGAGTCGGCACTGGGGGTGGGGGTGGGTTTTCGGGGCCCAGGAGTGGAGAAAACCCACCCCCACCCCCAGTCCCGACCCCTCGAATCGCCGGCTCGAGGATGGGCGTCGGGACGGGGGGTGGGGGTGGGTTTTCGACTTCTGAACCTGTGGTGCGCGGCTTTGGGGGGCCGCGGGGGGGAGCAGACAGAAGCGCGTAGGACGCTGCTGCCGCATCGCGCTCGGCGATCCGGGGACCCTGATGGGCCCGCACCGAAGGTCACTCCGGCGAAGGGTCACCCTTGCGTGTAGTCGTCGAGAGGGGGGGCGGGCCTTCTCAGGAGGCGCGGAAGTCCTCCAGCGCTCTGGGAAGTTTTCTGAGCCTTCCTCGAAGGCACAGGAAACTCCCCAGCAGGCCGGGGGGCTTCTGGGAAGCCCCGTCGCCTTCTGAGAAGGCCTCCCGTTTCTCGCTTCTCCCCCTCGCTCGCCGCCGATCCTTGGGACGTGTATCAGAACATGCTTGCCAGGCTGCATCAGGTCGAACCGCTGACCTGAAGGATTTAGCAGCGACACTAGCATACACTTTCGGAGGTCCGCGCGGATTTCTTGGATCTGCGCTGGACTCCCCTGGCGAGCCCCCTGGCGTGCTCAGCGAGCCAGGGAGGGGGTCCAGCGCCGATCCAAGGAATCCGCGCGGACCTTCGACAATTTCTGCTTATGCCGTCTTTTGTTTTCCGAAGGCCATGAACATTTTGCAGGTGGGGATCGCCCGTTGCGGAAGCCCCCCCCCCGCCCGCCGGATTCGGGAGGGGAAACGTGGGAGCTGAAGTCGGCGCTGCGGTCACGGGTACCGTGACGCTGGACTCGATCGGGTAGTCATTCGACAGGGGTGTGTTCAGCACAAGAACTCCGCCGCTCGCTGACGCCGACGCGGCACGCAAATATCGGATGTCAACGATGACCCTGCTTTCGTGGTTGCCTCCGCCCTCGATCTCGATGGTGTCGCCGATGTTGAATCCCTCCGTGGACGCCACATTCACTTCTGTGGCACCTTGCGCCGTCGCGAATACCGTTGTGGTCGATACTGGTTCAGCAGTCGGTGCTGGAGTTGTTGGAGATGCTGTTGGGGATGCTGTTGGTGACGCTGTTGGAGATGCTGTTGAAGATGCTGTTGGGGATGCTGTCGGTGACACTGTTGGAGATGCTGCTGGAGATGCTGTTGGGGATGCTGTTGGTGATGCTGTTGGAGATGCTGTTGGAGATGCTGTTGGGGATGTTGTCGGGACTGGTGGAGTTGTTGGAGATGGCGTTGGCGTGGGCGTCGGTGCAAGTGTGACTGGGGTGAAGCCGGTGAACAAGGAGTCTGCAGCTATGATGTGCTCGGACATATTGAAATTGACCAGGTTCGGGAAGACAGAGCTCAACCGACCAACGCTGCCCCGCGACGACGGCTGTGCGCTCAACCACTGCGCGATCGGGACCATGACACTCTCCCATGGGTACTGTGGGATCATCCTCCCTCGTCCCAAATCCTGGGCATTATCCTCCAACAGAGACTCGGGGTACCGGTTGAAAATGCGTCCGCCGTTGATGCCACCGCCCATGACGAAATGGTTTCCCGCCCAACCGTGGTCGGTGCCCATGCCGTTCGAGGTTAGCGTGCGCCCGAAGTCGGAGGCGGTTACCAGCACTACGGAATCAAAGATGTTCTGTCCCCGCATTTCGTTCACAAAATCCTCCAGGGCAGAGTTGAGATAAGCAAACTTATCCTCGAGCGTCATGTCCAAGTCTGTGTGCGTGTCGAAGCCGTACATTTCGACAAAGAAGAGGTCCCGCTCTGCCTGTCGAGCTGTCCTCGTCGCAATGAGCCGGGCGACTTGGCGCAGCGACCTGCCTATATCCGTGGCGGTGCTGAACGCGTACCCAGTCGCGAGCTCCGTCGCCTCGAGAAAGGTCCCAATGTTCTCGCTGGACTGTACGTGTCTGCCGAACTGGCGCGCGTACTCCTCGCAGTATGCATTGCCATACTGGAGGTTGGTGATGTTCTCTATGAGCGCCTGCAGCCCCTGGTTGTACTGGTAACTGAGCAAGCGCACGGCGCCGTTCCTTCTGGGGGTCCCACAACAATGCGCCCAACCGGTGCGGTGGCCAGACTGTCTGGTGAGTCAGCGGGGATTCGGAGTGAGCGGGCCGTCTGGGGTTAATTAGGTCGGGCATGTTCCTACCGGTGGATTTTGGACTATAAATGTAACGCAGCCAAAGCAGACTCAAACATAGTCAAACATGAGAAAGAAATTAGTTCCCAGACTGATTTTTGATTATTCTTGAATTTTCCTCCTGTAGTGGGACACGTCCGACTTAAGGCTAAACCTGGAACGGCCCCAGAGGAAGCTAAGAACCGCCCCGGGGAACCCGGAGCCGCCCCTATAGGGGAAGCGCGGAAACCGTCCCCGGGAGCCCAAACCCAGAACTCTCCACGCTCAGGGCCAGAACTCCAAGCCTACCCTAGGGCCCTCTGAGGGCGAGGAGGAGGAGAAGGAGGAGGATGAGGAGGAGGAGGAGGAGGAGGCGGAGGAGGAGGAGGAGAAGGAGGAGGTGGAGGAGGAGGAACTAGGGGAGTAGGAGGAGGAAGAGCAGGAGGAGGAGGAGGAGGAGGAGGATAAGGAGGAGGAAAAGGAGGAGGAGGAGAAGGAGGAGGAGGAGGAGGAAGAAGGAGGAGGGGTCCATACTCCAAGCCTCCTCTACAGCCCTCTGAGGGCCAGCCTGGAGCTCAGCGGAGAGCCCTCAGATGGCCCAGAAGGTGCTCTCTAACCGTCGGCTTGAAATAGCATGTCCTGATGGTTCCTAGTAGCGCCGTTTTTGCAGCGCTCTGGGAGCTTTCTGGAGGCGTCTTGGACTTGTTTGGGGCCCTTTTTTTCGCCAGAGCGTTTCCAGAGGGCCCAGGAAGTGAAGGGGTCAGGGGACGACGACCCCACAAGGATCCCAAGAGGGCTTCAACATAACCCTACGAGGCCCCCAAGAAGCTTCCATTGCCGAAGGCCAACAGAAGGACCTGATAAGTTGTTCCTGCAATTGCCGTGCTGATCGTCGTCCTCCGTCCTCCAAGCTCCACTCCACTCCTCTCCTCCACTCCCCGGATTCTCTCAAAGCGCTCCGGAGGGACCCAACCGAGTCCAAGACGCCTCCAGGAGAGCTCCAAGAGCGCCCTAACAATGGCCCAGGAGGAGCCAGGAGGTGAAAACTGGTCCGGGAGGCCTTCGAGCCAGCTCCGTGGGCGCCCGAACAACGGGCCAATCACAGCCAGAAGGTGCTGCATCAAGCCGCCGGTTAGATATAGCACCTCGTGGGCCTTCTCGGGGCCCTCTAGAAAGAACCAGTGAAGTCAACCAGGGCCCAAATAGGGCCTGCGACGAGCCTCAAGACGAGCCGACGAGGAGCCCTACGGCACTGTGTCTCATAACCCAAACTGGTTGGTTACATAACATCATGGATCCTCTGAAGGCTCTTCGAACGGCGCCAGAAGAGCCCCATGAGAACTCCAGGATAGCCTCAAGAGGGCCCCCAGAGAGCCTCCAGAGAACGCAAAGGATGCCAGGATGTGCTCTACTTACCACGCGGTTCGGTCTAGGGCTTCCGCCCTCGAAGCCCAGTCCATAGCAATAGTTTTGAAACCAGAATTCCTGACTCAAGGACAGTTGGATAGAATCTGGCAGCCCTGCAACGCTATCGGCGAGGCGCAGCTGCTGGGGCGGGTCCAGATACGAGAACAGACCTCGACAAACCCGCAAGAACATCCGAACTGCAACTAGGGCGACGACGAAGAGCACTTGTCAAAGTTACCAGATATTTCTGCTAGCGTCCCTTTGCCCTGTCCAGGGGCCCCGCCTTAATGTCGTCGTCGTCGTCGTCGTCGTCGTCGTCGTCTTCTTCCTCCTCCTCCTCTCACAAAAAAAGAAAAAACGCAGAGAGGGGTCGCCAACGCGAACGCCAGATAAGCTCGGGCACTGGAGACTGAGTGAGCAGAGCGCCAAGGGATCTCCAGGCGAGCGGAACGGACCCCCCCGAAATGCCCCCAGAGAAAATGAAGAAGATCAGCAGAGACTGACGCCACGGTTGTGTCACACAATCTTGCCTGAACCGCGCCCAGAATACCCGCACTGGTGCCCACCTGGACCCCGCTAGAAGGTATTTCATGGATCTAAGCAAGTCCCAAGAGAGACCGTAGAGCATCGCTGAGAAGCCCCAACGAACCCCTCCAACGTGCCCGCATAACCGCGTCGGAAACCCGAAGATTTCCCCCACGCCCATGAAATTCTAAATCAAAACCCTGGAATGCACCCACCCACAGATTCCATTCCCAGTTTGAGTCAACATTCCCGGTTTGCCCCTGGGATCCCGGTTAGGCTTGAATTCGCGGTTTTAATCAAGAATTCCTGGCTCCCCGTCTCAGAGGATTACAGGTTCGGACCCGTCGGATTCCCGGCTTGGGGGCGATTCCCCCGTTGAATTCTCCACCGTGTGACGATGTCACCCCTTTCGCTGGGAGGCCCTCTCCCTTGGGTCCTGGGGTCCTGGGGGCTCTCTTGTCTCTCTCTGTCTCTCTCTCTCTCTCTGTCTATCTCTCTCTTTCTTCCCGCTCGTTCGCCCTCTCTTCGGAATGATGCTTAGGGATGGGCTCAGCTCGTGATTGCAGCCTTTTGGCTTACAGATCTTTTTGTGCGTAGGTAATAACCTCCCTCTCGCCCTCTTAGCCAGTCCCGTGTCCCCCCTGACGGTGAGACAATGGTAAGCGGAGGAGGAGGAGGGGGAGGAGGAGGAGGCGGAGGAGGAGGAGGAGGAGGAGGAGAAGGAGGAGGAGGAGGAGGTGGAGGAGGAGGAGGAGAAGGAGGAGCAGTGGGCGAGGGGCAGCAGGGAGGAGTCCGAGTCGGGCGCGAGAGATCCTCCACCGAAGAGAGAGCCGCTAGCACGGCCCCGACGGACCAGCAAGCAGTGACGAAAGTGGATGATGGACGAGCAGACATCCTCCTCCTCCTCCCCCTCCTCCTCCTCCCTCCTCTCCTCCTCCTCCGCCTCTCCTCCTGCTCCTCCTCCTCCTCCTCCTCCTCCTCCTCCTCCCCCTCCTCCTCCTCCTCCTCCTCTCCTCCTCCTCCTCCTCCTCCTCCTCCTCCTCCTCCTCCTCCTCCTCCTCCTCCTCCTCCTCCTCCTCCTCCTCCTCCAGGTGTCACCCAGACCATGAAGAAGCCGCACCAGCCCTGATGGCATCAGGGGCGGCGGCGTAATCATTATAATCAGGCCCTTCTTCACCGGATGGGATCGGTGGACGCGGGCTTCCCGACGGACACCGGCACAGGACACGGAGCGGACGACCTACGACGAGGGCTGGGACGACGATGATTGGTGGACGTGGCCACAAGGATGGGGCTCTGGGAGATGGCTCCAAGAACGATGTGCGACCGACTGGGCGGGCTACCCGAGGACGGGGTTGCTCCACAGTCGAACTACCTTCAACAGGGACTTTTGGGCTCCACCAGTCCGGCTAGGCTACGAACACCTCGATCTGTACTGTGGTAATATTAAGGCCTGGGCATCTCGAACGTGCTACCGAGCAGAATTTAGAACAGGGAAAATACCAGAGACGCACCTGGTCGAGATACAGCAAAAGTACAAGTTGGTTCGTGCCACGATGGACTCAGACGAGGGCGTGCAGAAGCTAATGGACCATCTTGCAATCCTCAGTGGGGAACGTCCTGGTGATAAGGAGCGTGAGACCCAGAACCTGGCACTCTTCGTCTACAGCAGACGGCGGGGCGAGAGTATCACGGAGTATGTCTTGAGGCGAGACGCGCAGACAGCCGAGGCCGAGACGTTCAGTTGACGTTGCCAGACAACGGATAGGCCAGGCATCTCGAAGAAGGGGCACAAATCTCAGCCAGCACAACAAAATCAACCTGCGAGTGCTGACTGGCGAACAGAAGGATTCCACTACTGTGCGGCAATCTCTGTTGCCACACTAGGGGCCCGATCACAAGAAACCTTCCACAAGAAACCCAACGCTGAGACCCCATGACGTCCACTCGATCTTTGGCGTGGGAACGTCGCGCTTGCCATCGCAAGACCATCGGAGCCCAGGAAACCCAGGGCACCCTGGAGGCAAGCAGGGTGTTTCTTGGCATGGTCACCCCCACTGTACTGGATGCCAGAGAAGAAGGGGATCTTGCCTGGGGCCTCGGAGGCGGAGGAGGAGGAGGAGGTGGAGGAGGAGGAGACGGAGGAGGAGGCGGCGGAGGAGGAGGAGGAGGCGGAGGAGGGGGAGGAGGCGGCGGAGGAGGAGGAGGAGGAGGAGGAGGAGGAGGAGAAGGCGAAGGAGGAGGTGGAGGAGAAGGAGGAGGAGGAGGAGGAGGCGAGGAGGAGGAGGCGGAGGAGGAGGAGGAGGAGGAGGAGGAGGAGGAGGAGGAGGAGGAGGAGGAGGAGGAGGAGCAGGAGGACCTCCTCCGCGGGCCAGGCCCGCTCCTGCCCGACACGGGCGCCACGGGATGCGGACGCGTGCCCTCGACGACGCCTTGTGAGCTCCTGGAGGACGACGCGCGAGGTCTGCTGGGAAGCACTCGACGAGCAGGATCTCAGCGAGGAGGATCTCAGCGAGGAGGACCGTGAGGAGGAGGAGGAGGAGGAGGAGGAGGAGGAGGAGGAGGAGGAGGAGGAGGAGGAGGAGGAGGAGGAGGAGGAGGAGGAGGAGGAGGAGGAGGAAGCGAGAGGTCTTCTGCGAAGCACTCGACGAGCAGTATCGCAGCGAGGACCCCGTCCCGGTGCCGTCCGCGGTCCATCGAGGAGGAAGGCGGCGGGCGATGAGCGCAGGGCGTGCGTGGGGCAGAGGCCCACGAGAGCTCAGGGCCGCGCGGCGCGCGGACAGGGATCTCTTTGATCGGATTCGTTTTGTTTTTCGTATACGAGGCTCCCATGATTTACCACCGAAATTCTCTTCTTGAGATCCTCAGAGTCAAGTCGCCTGCATCCCGCCTTCGCTGGAGCACGCTTCCGATCAAAGAACTTACTCAAAGAGCTCTTTGATCGGAGGCGTGCTCCAGCGAAGGCGGGATGCAGGCGTC